GCACGAACCCGCGTCCCCTGCATCGGCAGGCGGACTCCCAACCACTGCACCACCAGGGAAGCCTGGCTGGTGGATTCTTAACCACTGTGCCACCAGGGAAGTCCTGGGAGGCCTTTTTAAAAGGATACTTTAAACAAACAAAAACCACTTTAAAACAAAATCTTGAAACTTTCAAGGAAAAGACAGACAGGACGACATAAACATGTGGAGTCTTTATTCCAGAAACGATCAGGGGAGAAATGATGACGGGGAGGCACTTGCCGTGGATGGTGGTTTGTTTCTGTAAGGCGTGAAAGTCTTATAAACCTGTAAGGAGAAGACAGACAATCCCAGGAAAATGGGCAAAGGGTTTGCAAAGGCAGTGGCAATGCAGAAGCCCAAAGGGCCCAAAACAGGATGAGCCGGTCTGCCCCCTGTAGTCCCCGACCTCATCTTTAATTATAGCTGCAAAGGCCCTATTTCCAAGTAAGGCCACCTTCACAGGTTCTGGATGGACATGTGTTTTGGGGGTCACCATTCACCCCACTACATACAGTATGAAGGGAGAAAGGAGAGAGGACAGGCAGTGGGCATCTCTGATGAAACTCGTCTAATATGATTCCACATATGTAAAATTACTTGCGTGTGTGTGCACACGTGTGCACAAGAATACGTGTCTCTCAGTTGACATCTTTCAGTGCTGCTTTCTTCCTCAGCTACAGATATGGTACACAGCTGAGAAAAGAAGACTGTCCTTCCGCTGGTGAATTAGGAATAGAAACAAGTTTAGAAAGTCAAACAAAGGAAGCTGGGAAACAGCAGCACCGGTCACACGAGTTCAGACTCTGGCCCACTGACCACTCTGGAACCTGACCCCGAGCCCACGAAACTCAGAACCGCTGGAAGGGACCACACCTGGTGGGGCCTGGAGACTCAGCTTCCAGGGTGGCCTACACCTCCGCTGCCTCAGGACCTGCCACTGCCTCCTGGCACCCGGGTCCACCAGCTAAGCCTGGAAGGATGGCAAAAGGAGGCTCCCCAGCGGAAACTGGCCAGTAGCCTATCATACTATTAAAGACAGCTAAAAGAAACCTTCTCTATTTTTTAGGAATGCAGAGGCACAAAACAATGCATAAAAAAAGCAAGGGAGTGATGTGGAGGGTTGGGAGGGGGAGGCAGCGGGTGGGCTGGTGGGGCCGCCTGGGGGCTGCAGGTTAGGGGCAAGGTCAGCCAGAGCCTGATGTGGGAGGTGGGCTCATGCGTTGCTGATTATTCTGAGTGAATGAATGAATGAACTGGACCAGTGGTGGGAAGACACACACCAGGAATCACAGTAGTGCAGCTCTGGGCCATGTGTGCTCTTCGATTAAACAGGTATCCATGCATAGATGGAAAGCTGGCATCCAGGGTATAGCAACTGCCTCTGATTTATGAAGTTTAGGAACAGTGCTGCTAGCACTGTCATCAGATGCCTGGGCACATGCAGCACAGCGATTAATCAAACCTCAGGGAGATTCAGGGTCCCTGTTCTTAGGAGAATAGGCACATACCATGTAGAGTCCATTCTGGGTTTGCCATGGGGTCTCATCCAGGATGCACCCAGGGTCAGCACCGTCTACGAGAGACCAGAGCACCAAGACACCTAAGGGCAGGGGGATGCATTGTCACCGGTATACCATACCCTGTACACGCCCCACCCCGGGACTCCAGAATCCCATGTGGATTGAGTGAGAAAGAAAGCACCACCCATCCATCAGCTTGGCCATCTGTCTGTCTCCTCTGCCTGGTCCATCCCCCTGGAGGGTGAGCCGGCTGGGACCAGCCCTGGGCCCATGGGCACACCCATGCTAGGGTCCACCCCCGCCCTCCCCAGGAGTGTGGCTGCCAACCCAGAGCCCCTGCAGACCCAGCCATTCAGGAGGAGGACAGGAGAGCATGGGTTGGTTTGCATTTTACGTTCTTGAAACTCTCCCTGACTCAAATTAGATGTTTCTTTCAAAAGCTGGATATTGCCATTTTCCTTCCAGGGTAGAGTGGGCCTCGCTCTCCTGCTGCTCCAAGGCCCCAAGATCAGCAGGGCTGTGCACCCTGTCCCACTCCCACCAGGAACTCCCAGGGCCACCAGTACACTGGCCAGGACCTTCTGGTCCAACAGGAGTCCCAGGGGCAAGGCAGGTAGTGGGGGCAGTCAGCTGTCAGCTCGGCTCTGAGGCAGGAACCCAGTGAGGGTTGGGGCGGAATGGGGAGATGGGACAACAGGGAGGACCACAGGCCCCACCTGGTCAAAGTCCCATGGATTTGACAAGTTTCCACACATGCAGTGCTTGGAATGGGGGTGCGATGTGGCCACAGTCGGCGGCAGGGGGACTGAGATTGTCCTTCCCGATGTCATTCTCCTTGCTCGGCCCAGAGCCTTCTGAGGTCAGGACCGAGCCTGTTCACCGACGGCCCCAAGCTCCTGGAAGCGGTTGCGTTCACAGTTCCCTTTGCTCCTGGCCCTTCCGCCCAATTCCCCCAAAAGTGGAAAAATTCCCCCCAAAGTGGAAAAAAATCAGAAAGGCTGAATTCAGAACGGAAGGGTCCCAAGTCTGTGATGTTCTGGGAAAGGCAGAACTATGGACACAGTAAAAAGATCAGTGGTTGCCAAGAGTTGGGGGGAAGGAGGGACGGATAGATGGAGCACAGAGGATGTTTAGGGCAGTGAAACTACTCCGTATGGTACCTAAAGGTGGATGCATGTAATTATACACTTGTCCGAACCCATTAAACGTCCAACACCGAGAGTGAACCCTGATGTAAAGCGTAGACTTCTCAGTGAGAACAAACCCACTATAGGCCCGTCAGATGTAATGAACGCCCCACTGACTGGAGATGCCAGGAATGGAGGGTGTGGGAATTGTCCGCACTTCCTGCCCAAGTTTTGTGTAAGCCTAAAACTGCTCAAAGACAAAACCAAAAGTCTATTATTATTATTATTATTATTTTAATCAAAGGGTCAATAGTTTAAATAGCTTAAACTAATCAGGATAAATGTCACTTTTACTGGAGGCTGAAGCCTGAGATGGACACTTGTTTCAGAGGCAGTGAAAGTTCAGTTTTCCAGATCAGAACTCACGAGTTCCACAGGAAGACTCTTCTTGTTAATAAATCTGGCAAGCAGGCCAAATGTCCCCAAATGCCCAGCTGTGGAATGCAAGAGCGAGAGAGGGGCTGGGGGCTTCCAAGGTGGTCTTAGGTTGGTGTCAGTTTCAAGCAGCTCCACGAGATTCTGTGTGTCACGACCCGTCTCTACAGGACACACAGCTCAGGCAGTTTTGTATGTTTTATATAAAATTGAAGGGTAACCCCTGTGATGTAAATGGGGTTGTCTCCCAGGGACTTGTTTCATGTCTCATCCATGTTTCTCATCTGTCTGACAGTGGCCCCACTGCACACATCATAAAGGTGCAGAGAAGGGTCGAGGCACAGCAGTCAGGGAGGAGCTTGGGGACCCCCACCCGCCCTGGCCAGGCTGTGGCCGCTCCCACCGGCTTCTGAAGGAGGCCAGGGGACCTCTGACTCATCGACTTTACTTCCTCCAGGGAGTGTCCCAAAAACCACTAAGGAAGACGAGGGACCTCTGAGGCCGGCTCCCCATCCTGCCAGCCATGTTGACCTCGGCATCTCCCCTTCCCACTCCCAGGATGCTCTGGGCTTTCCTGCTCTTGGCCACCTCTGGGAGTGCTCAGAGTAGAGGTAAACTTCGTGGTCCCACTCTGCTAGGGGGGCCCCCCCGGGGATGAGACAGGGGTGGAAGGAGAGACCTAGGTCAGGCCGGGAGGGCCCAGGCCCCAGGTAGTCAGTGACCCCAGGGAGGGCAATCAGTGGAAGTCCTGAGGCCCAGCCAGACCCACATGTTGGACTGTATCCCCACACAGACTGGGACAGCCCCAGCTGCACCAAGGATGTGGTTTCTGTGTTCAGGGGCAAGCCAGCCGTGATGGCCTGCAGCATCACCAACCCCTTCTCCCACATCAACATCTCCCTGCGAACCTACCACGGGGAAAGCTGGCAGCTCGTCTTCAGTGTAAATGCCCCAGGAAACTTCCGTCAGGATGGATGGCAGCTCTGGGTTCAAGGGGGTGAGGCGCACCTGGTGATTGAAAAAGCCCAGGACACCCAGGCAGGGCAGTACAGGTGGAGTCTTGTCGGGCTCCAGAGAAACTTCAAAACCACCACCCTGAACGTCTCAGGTGCGGGGAGGAGTGCCTTGACCCCCAGGTGCTTGCCTGTTTGGGAGGGGCAGCAACCAGGGAGGAGCAATTCCTGCCCACCTGAGGTGCCCAGAGCCACAGGGATGGGGCCTAAAGAGGGCTTCCATCTGCTCCACCCACCCCACATCTGTGACCCCTCCGAGCTTCTCCCCAGGGCAGCCCGTGCACGCATGCCCTGGGCACCATCCCCTGTCTGCGCAGGGAGCTGGTCCCTTCCCTCCCTAAAAACCTCCTACCCCCCACTTCCTTTGCTGCAAAACTCCCCAAGTCACCACCCCTCACTCTCATCCCCCCCCACACCTGGTTGTAATGCAGTCATGGTCACCCCGAGCTCTGGGGACAGGGAGCAGGGGTTCAGCTTTGCCCCTAACCAGGTACAGTGGGAGGGGCTAAGAACGGCACCCCCAGCCTAGCCGGGCCCTGGGAGGGGAAGACAGTGAGGCCCTCATGGACTCCTGTAACCAGAGCTCATCTGATACCTGGGGTGGAGGGGCTGCATAAGGGCTGGCCCTGGGCAGGTCCCCACCAACCTACCTGGTATCTCTCTTTGGCAGAGCCCCAAGACACACTCTTCACACCTTCCTGGGGTAGGTGTTTCTATCTTCATCCTGGGGTACAGGAGGGGAGCCTCAAGGAAGCCCCCTGGGGTCTCCCCCCATCAGACACCCCCACCCTCTGTGCCTGGCACCCTGCCCATCCCATGCACCCCATCTCCCTGCCACTCTCCCACCTATGGGCTTCCTGGCTGGAGGTGACGTCCCCCTCGAGGATGCCCCCAAGGCAGGTACCCCCAGCCTAGCCTGCACCAGTGAACGAAAGGTGGAGGTCCCGCCCACTTTCCACAGGCCCGGAGATGCTGGTCCCCAATCTCAGGCCTGACCCCGAAGACAAGAGCCAGGCCCAGGTGGTCCTCCCCGTCCTCGCCCTGGTCGCCCTCTCTGTCCTGCTGGTCTGCTTGCTGGCCTGGTGCAGAAGGTCTGGCTCCCCGAAGTTCTCCAGGCTCCGGCAGGTATGGGCCCCTGTGCCTGGTCTGTGGGCTGGGCAGGGGGTCTTGGACGGGGTCTTCTGAGACTCAGGATGGACACTCGGCCCCATAGCCTTGCACCCACTGGGGCTAGTGGGAGAGTGGGGAGCGTGCAGGGTCCCAGAGAGCTGGTACCCCTCCCCCAGAGGACCCCAGCCCACTATGGCAGTTCCAGGCCCAGAACACAGATGCCCCACTCCCAGCCAGACCACCAGGTCCCCACTGTCCCCAGGACACCCTGGAGGATGGCATGGGGGGAGCTGGACTTCCTGCTCCTTCCAGGAGACCTACGATGTGTGGGCAGTTGGTGTGTCCTCAGGTGTGCCGGTAAGCACAGGTGTCTGCCGATGGCTCTCATCCCTCCCTCCCTCTCTCCGCAGATAAGGAGGCTCTGAGCCAGAGTGGGGAGTTCTGTGTATCACGCACTGCACTACACAGAGGGAAAGTGAGGGGAAGGGCAGGCCAAGGACTAGGAAGCCTGGCAGCGTCCTGGCCTCTCGCTGACATGCAAGCCAGGGAGGGGTCTTCAGCTGCTCCTGTGGCCCAAAGTGCAAAAGTCTCAAGTTCCAAAGCACTTGACCCAGCAGGACCCTCCCCCTCCTCTGCTCCATCCAGGCCTCTTGGCCTGGGCTCCTCCCTGGGGCAGGAGGGCCAGGCTGCTGTCACCTCGGAGACACCCCAGTCTGGGGTCCTGTGTTGATCGTGGACACCCTCCTGTCTTTGGACTATGAACAAGAACAAGTTTTGGGGACCCTCCTGCCAGCAGTTGTGGCGCCAGGATGTGGGGATCAGGGGCCTGAGATGGCGCGTGGGCCCCTCCTCCACCACCAGGGGGTAGAGCAGCCCCTCTGGAAGGGAAGCAGGACAGGTGGCTGCTGGGGACCTGTGTCCAACCCCCTGGTCTCCCCTAGCCCTGGGGCTCCCCTCCCCCGCATCTGCCCCACCTGTTGGCTCTTCTAGGTCCCAAACCCATTTATGCCAGATGTCTTCATGATCAAAACTGTGTAACTCCACTGAGTGTGTTCTTTTTTTGGCGGCTGGTGCGGGG